GCATGGTCTCATCAACCACACACCCATAGATTTGCAACCAGCCGGATTAAACTAGCAAGAGGTAGGTGCCGTACAGGCAGCAAAACACAGTTTTTTTTTTTGAGAGAAACAGCAAAAGCAAAGCACAGTTACGAGAAAGGACAAAGAAATTATACAAAAGCAAAGTACGTACAAACAAAAAGTTAGTAGAAATGCAAAGCTGACACGCTAATAACAATGCGTATATATCTTACATATATAATTAATCGAGTGACAATATAAGCATGATTAGGACCACGACTACCAATAATTCTCTTAATAACGAACTCGATCGGTCGATCCATGACGGCTTGTGAAGAAAGCAAAGCTAGCTAGCTAGCTAACGTTACAGCGTAGTCCAACAAATTGAATGAACTAGGTAGCTTGAACAGTACTGTAACTAATTCAGACAAAGCTAATTTAAGTTCAAGTAAGGGTCTGTTTAGATACAAACTTCAGTCCTTTTCCATCACATCAACATGTCATACACACATAATTTTTCAGTCACATCATCTTCAATTTCAACCAAAATTCAAATTTTGTGTTGAACTAAACACAGCCTAAGAGGGGCGCAGGTTGGTATTATAAAGCTGCTATTCACTGTGTCTGATATTGATAGTATATATTTGTAGTTATTTTGGTTAGGGCATCAACATCGATCAAAAAGTAGCTAACTTTGTTGTCCTTTTTTGGTACGTACATCATCTGTTCATCGCTAGCGATAGAGCATATATATGTACGAAGTCAGCTAGGTGCATGTAGCTTTCATTAGGCGTGGTGGCATTATTGATCTATCACCAGATGATCGGTAAATAATTCAGCTACTTTTTATATGTATAGTAAATGTTGTTTGGTTAATTTATATTTGCATGTAGGTGTTTTTTTTAACAAGATTATATACCTTGTGCGGTGTTGTGCACACCGAAAAAAAGGAACAAACAAAACACATTTATTTATTGGAAAAACATAGGAGATTTATATGATTTAAATCATGTAGAAAAATATCCTCTTTGATCCTTTGAAACATAGGATTAGCACCCTAATATAACAATCTTATATTATTCCTATTGAATGGCTTAAGACAAGAAGATTTTAAAGGAATTTTAGCATGAGGTTTAACCTCATAAAACTTCATTTGAGTTTTTATCTCTCCTTTTAATTTTTTTCCACGGTCTATTAAAATATATTTTTTGGGTTTTATTCATATTTAAATCTTATTTTTTTCTATTATTGAATTTTCTCAAACTTGTATTTCAAAAAGCGTAAGATTTTTTAGACGTCAAAGTCAATTAATATGAAAGAAATGGTACCAAGTGAAGGTTTCTTTTAAGAGAAACTACAAATCCAAGAAATAGCAAGTACCAAAACAACGCTAAAAAAAATATCAAATGCCTTTCTAGCATGTCTGGAGCATGAATTCCTTAGAGCGCATTTGCTTCTTATTGACAAACTTATTTTTTAAAGATCATAAAGGAGTATAATAATTAATAAATACATCTAAACTCTGCACCTACTAGGAATGCACATAACCATAAATTAAAAAGGAAATGTTGATAAACTGATGTGGTTGGTCAGGTTCTTCTTCTTTGAAATTAACATGTTAGAATAAATTTGTAGAGGGTGTGTGTACGCTAATTTTGATCTGCGCTAAGATATAAATTTGTAGAGGGTGTGTGTACGCTAATTTTGATCTGCGCTAAGATATCAAGACATGTATACCAAACTTATATTTATAAATGTGTGAGATGTTTTATATGCCTATTCACCAAAGCAATTCGAAGAAGGAAAATAGTGGAAACATACATCATTATAAATTAATAGTGTCTTCCTAATCCTCGAAGAAATATATATTACCATAACAAATCCGAGCTGCGATTAAAAATGCATATATGTAGTGCATTAAACGTGGTATAAATCAATACATAAAACAAAAATATATATGAATAAACAGGGCCTGAAATTTATTTGCTTTAATTTGTTGATCGATGGGACATCAAGGATGAAATGGGTTAGCTCTTTATGCCATTCTAATATTCTCTTTCACCAATATATATAATTCCAGAACTATCAACAGTGACTTGAATAATTTCATTGCACAGATAATAATGTTTCTTTAAAACATATGAGAGCAGACTAACCTTATTGATTAATCGCATACTACTCCAACTGGCTGGCTGCCACCATGTCGTGGACCTCGTTGGCTGTGCCAAATAATTTTAACGTCAACGGAGAGAATACAAACCAATAAATTCTAAATACTACTCTCTCCATCTACTTTTGATAGTCATATTTCTAAATCTGAAAATTTTATTTTTGATACGCATATTTCAATCCAACAACCTATCATCTTAATGACTTTCTCGGATTTAATGCATGACTCTCCATTTTTCCACATATGATTGGCTACATGGGTATTGAGAAATGTAAATGTTAATGAATCGCTTGTTTACTAGGAATGACTAGTAGCATATTTAAATGGATGATAAGTATAATTACTTATCATTGGTCTGTGTGCTAAGATAAAATATGACTATCAAAATTAGATGAAGGGAGTATAAAGGAGCATTTAAACTTTGATAGGCCAATTGCACTTAAAATTTACTATTCATGAATGAAGGAGATATTTAAACTTGGATATGCCATAATTGCTCATCAAATCGTTGTGTTGTATTCACTTTGACTTCTTGGTAAAACACATGGCTAACTGACTACTCCCTCCGTACTCGTAAAGAAAATCGTTTTGGACAGTAACACGGTAATACAATTTTGACTTCTTGTTTCTATAAAAATATTTATTAAAAAATGATATATGTATATTTTTATGAAAGTATTTTTCAAGGTAAATCTATTCATATAATTTTTACATTTTCAAACTCAACAACTTAAGAGTTATTCATGATTTATATTCCCAATGTTTCACTTAAATATTATCCTAAATAACTTTCTTTATTAGTACGGAGGGAGTATCTTTTTATTTTTTCTGTTTAGCATCCAACTAAGGATGTTACGACTACGGTTCCTATGGATGTTACAACTGCAATTTCTGTGGGAATGGGATGTTACAACTGCAATTTCTGTGGGAATGGCCGGATCAGCTTTTTCAGAGTGGCATGGCATATTCAAAAGCTAGATTTGCCCTATTTTTTTTAAGCTTATCTACTGGGTTGACATGGATTATTTGTTCTGGTTTTAAAAAGTAAAAAATCCATATTTCAGCGAAGCACTTGATCCCCTAAACTATTTTTACTCATTTTACAGCTTGAAATATTGAAAATGGTTCACTTTTACTCCCCTTACACTATTTCTTCCCCCTTTTTTTCTCTCTACATAATTCATATTTTACCATCTATAACTCTAACAATTTTTAGCTTAAAATGCAACTTATATGAAGAGTAAAAAAAGAAATGTTATTACGGCCAAAATGAAACATTTTTAATAATTTAGCGATAAAATGAGTCAAGTTTAAGGGTTAAGTGACCCAATAAATTAGAGAGAGAGAGAGAGAGATTAAAATGGAGTACATGCTTCCATTTTGGCCGTAAACCGCAGCTACAACCTCGATACAGTATGTTTACAAGTAAAGATGGAGGTAAAACGTCCCCTCGAGCTAGCTTGATTGGTTAATTTCCCACCAACCCTCTCATCAATCACCAGCCCGGATTAGCTCAGTAATTAATCACGAGATGAAATTAAATATATATTCAGAGTAGTGAAATAGTGCTGAAGGGTAGTAACAACCGTACTTAAACAATGGCGTTTGCCGTGTTATCTTATCCCGTCGATTCCGGAAAAGAGAAGGTTACTGTGTAAGCTAGTGGTGCAGCCTAGCTAGTTAATTTGTACGAACCGAAACACGTTAGCTCGGTCCAATAATATAGCTCAGTGTGCACATGCAGGTGTGGACTCTTGGCTAATTAATTTACCCCCAACAATATGCACAAATTAAAGTTTAAATTTCTTGAGGTCTATGTGACAACAACGAATCACCTAGCAAATGCTGAATCAGCCCGGAAAATCTGCAACATTTTGCGTCGAATCATCGATCAAACTATTCAATGTGGCAGATGAACGATCATTTTGTCATCGCCCAGCCTATGCCGCGTGCCTACTTGTCCTTTCATACTGAATACTGACTACTGAGCAACACTCACCATGTTAATTGCACGGTGAAAAGAAATGCAACCTTTTCTATCATGGAGTACAGAGAAAAATTAAATCAGCATTGCTTGATCGTTACTTAATTAATTTTCGATGATGGAAATGGTTAACTTGTTAGTTACCGATGCGTCGTAGTTGCACGATCTGTTTGAGACGGAAATCATATCGCTCGAATGGTTTCTGAACTGAAGTTTGGTAGGGTGATGGGGATCGAGGGAATAGACAGTATTTGTCATTTCAGTTGTGCACTTATTTTTTTATCATCAATTTTTAAAAGTTTATGTAGTTTAACATCTCAAGACTTATGTTTTTGGGGTAATTATGTTCTTGCCCTTACTTTATGATTCAATTGTGATTTTGCCATTACTTTTTAGGGTTTGTAATTTTGCCCATGCTTTTTTGAAATGAAGGAGCAGAGTGCCCCCTGTTCTGTTAAAACTAGCTAATGGTGTTAGATCGGAGATACAACGCCGAGTATACCCTTATGCAAATATGTGCCCACTTGTGTATTTGCCCTTTTTTGAGTTCAGCTTTGAACTGAACTTTACAAATGTTTCGAAGTGAACTTTGCTATACTTGAAATTTATAAAAAAAATGACTAGATTTCAGCAATAGCTTGACAAATATCACAAAATTTCAACAGGATTCCAACATGATTTCAGCAATAAATATACAAGATTTCATTTCACAAAATTTCAACATACTTTCAAGGAGATTTCACTGAATTTCAACACAATTTCAGCTATAGCAAACACCATAAAGTCCAGTAGCGCCAGCCAGCCACCCTTGCATCTCCTCTAGCACCGTCGCCCTGCTGCATCTGTGCCTCCTCAAGCACCGTCGGCCCCCAGCAGCCCCTGCGCCAACCTTCCCCTTTGCACCTTCCCTTCCCCAACCGTACTCACCCAGTCCTGAGCACCCCATCGCGCCGGACCGTGCTAGCCCGCGGTTGCCAACAGGCCACCTGACCAAGGCCACGCCTCTCCTTCACGCTGCCACCGCACCTCCTTGCGCACCGGCCAACGGTTGTCGCCACCGCGCTGGCCCGCAGCAGAGCCGCGCCGACCCACGGTTGCCGCCGCGCCTCCTGCGTGCTGGCCAACGGTCGCCGCCGTCGTGCTGGCCCGCTGTTGAGCCGCGTCGACCCGCAGTCGTCGCCGCCGCCGCCGCGCCCACCCTGCTGGCTGCCTGGTCTTGCTGCTGCTGTTGCACCGCTGCCGCCACTCGCTAGGCCGTACTGGAGATGGGGAATACACGGAGAGCGCTACGGCTCGGACATCCGGCATCACACCAAAAATCGGATGTCTAAACAAGCGCATGTGAGAATGAACCCTGTCCTATAACGTATGTGCCTAGCTGTTTCTTTTCATTCTTTTCTCCTCTCTTTAAATATTTTTTCTCCTAAATTACTTATCCGATCTACGATCCGATCACATCGTTATATTCGTTGCAATTAAATCTTTACAATAAAATATCACATGATTATATTATGTCAAAAGAAAAACATGTGTTTCAAACCGTTAGAATAACATGTTTCATACGTGATAGAGATAGGTTTCAATATGTGTCTTCGGTGTGTTTCACAAAATTCCTGAAATTAACTGCTACTACTCTCTCTCCACCTCATGCATGCATACATGCATGTATTTTAGCAAGCTTCAAAATGATTTTTCTTTTAAATTACTTATTCAATCTATGATCCGATCACGCCGTTGTATTCGTTGTAATTAACTCTTTACAACAAGATATCGCATGATTATATTTTGATAAAAGAAAAACATATGTTTCAATCCGTCAATACTTGTTATTTCATATGTGACAACAACATGTTTCAACGTGTATATTCACCATGTTTCATAAACATATTTAAATGTTTCGGTTGTTGTTTTCTTTGTTTCACCATATATAACTTAATGTTTTACTTGTTGGTCAACGCTCGCCCCCACACTGCCGCATGCCCGCGTTGCTTCCGTGCTGCGTTGCTTGCCTGCCCTACATGCGTTGCTTGCGCTGCTGCTTGCATACTCTCTCTCCCTCTCCCTCTCCCTCCCATTACACGTGCCTAATTTTTTCCTCAAATTGTAAATATTTTTCTCCAAAATTATATATCTGATCTAAATTTCAATTATACCATTAGATTTTTGCACAAATACTTAATTATGTTGAAATATTTTTAAATAGGACGCTACAAATCGAACATTCAATATTTTTTTTTTTCAAATATCGAATGCTGCTCCTCGTCTGTATGTATGCAGGGACGCGTTGGAGGAGCGAGGTTGTCGCATGCATGCATGCAAGAGTAGAGCTGGTTGCCAAGGTGGCCTGAGGCAGTATTACTTTCTCTCTCTCTCTTAATCAAACTTTAAACGAAATTTTATTCTAAAATATATACCCAATCTATAATTTATAACAAGATCTCACATGAATATATTTTGATAAAAATATATATGTGTTCTAGAAAAAAAACAAACTTATGTTGAACTATTTAAAAATAATTCTTTCATCACTTGTGGAGATGTTTCAACCCTCTTCACAAATTGTTCCAAAGAGGTACAACATATAAAAAGTATTGATGGCAATAATAATCATTATTACATGAAACATTAAGTCCCGACCAGTGAAACATTTTTTATATTTAGATTGAAACATCGAATTATAATTATTGTTGAAACATAAAAAATGTATTTGCTGAAACATATAAAAAAAGACAGCATGAAACATTGCTAATGCATTAGTGAAACATCAACAAATGCTTTTTGGAACATTTCAGTAACAATGTGTGCAATATTTAAAAAGTAAAATTAAAACTCATCGGAATGTAGTCATGTGATATCTTGTTATAAAGATTTAATTGTAACGAATCCAATGATATAATTAGATTGAAATTCGGACTAATAGTTTAAGAGAAAAAATCATTTAAATTTTGAAACATGTTTGCATGCATGCTCCGTTGGCTTATCAGTACACCTAACCAACTGTTTCACCATGCACCTACACTGTTGTTCTTTTAAATTGAGACATCTGATTTTTTATTTCTGGCTGGACGGCCAATGGTAAGCATTTCCGGGAATACACGGCTTCAATCTGATTCACACACTGCTTAATGATTTACTCACCAGGGGTATAACAGTCATTGACAAATTGCAAAATCATTTTTTAATTTTCCTTTCCCTTTGTTTATCTCAAAAATTCTAGTCCCACATAACCACGGTCAAAACCAGTGGCAAAATGGTTGCTTCACTTATAAAAAGTAGGGGCAAAAACAACCCTAAAAGTAGGGGGCAAAATCACAATTGGATCACAAAGCAAGGGCAAGAACACAATTGCCCCTATGTTTTTATATCTATCTTGAGAAATGCTTTCATGATACATAATGTGCACGTTGTTAAATTTTATGAACTCATAAAAAAATACAAATTTTGCTATAGGATACCTAAAATTTGTGTAATTTGCTAGTAGACATCGAAAAACGTGTCACAGCAGAAAGACATATTATAAAACTAGTAATTTGCTGGAGGACACTTTGAACTCAATTGGAGAGATAAATTCTTAAGAAGGATAAGAACACCCCTAGAACCCATACTTCAAATAGGGTCCCCTTCAAATATGGCGTTAGAGTGAAAATTTGGGAATTATACAACTCTAAATTTATCATCATCCTAAATACATCGTTAGTATGTATCATATTCCATCTTCACTCTAAGCCTTAGCTTGAAAGCTTTTGGCCCTAGGGCATTCTCGTTTTTGTGAAGAATTTCCCTCTCCAATTGAATTGAAAGTATCCTTCAGCAAATTACTAGGTGTTTTTCAGCCGTAACACGGTTTTGTCATTTCTACTAGCAAATTACATAAAATTTGAGTGTATGGTAGCAAACATTGTCAAAAGAAAATCCAACGAACCGGTATAAGACACTGCCAATGTTAAATCGAATGATAATCAATCTGAAATGGAGAGATTAGTTTGGTTTAATTTGCAAGCAGGCGCAAAAGAGGTTAACACGGCTAAGCGGTTGTTACTTCCCGTACCGACCGAGCAAAATAAGCATTACTTGGTTGTTAATTAATCATCTCTCTATATAATGGAAACGGTTCTTGTACTTAGCCTGGTCGCTTGAATGGCTTGCAGAGTTCGGTTGGCTGATTGAGATCGATGAAAAAAGGCAGTTTAGTTCTGCATCAAGCAGGCAAAAAGGCCAGCCGGTTGTAGTGGTGGTTGGTGATTCAGGACGCAGATCGGAGCATGTGATGTGCAGTACTGCAAAATGGTACTGCTTGGTTTTTGGACGTTTGGCTGGTGGATTTCATCGTTTTTGGTAGAGTTGGTGATATTTCGCTCGAAAACGGAGCATATGCATGGGACAAGGGTTGACCAAAGGCATGGAGCAGCTGATCGAGCTCCACTTCGAACCTTTTTCTTCTTCTTCTTCTTTTGTGATTATGAGGATAATGCCACCACTTCGCGCGTACTTCTTATATAGGCACACACCAACGAGTGCATCCTGTTTACCACCCATTTCGGTTAAGTTCTACTCCCTTCGTCTAAAAAAACCAATCTAGTATTGACAAGATTCGTTATACTGGAAACATCCCATTCAATAGTAGGTTGGTTTTTTTTTGGGCGGAGGGAATAGTCGGTAATTCGGCGACTACTTACTCATTCTCCTTGGGCACGTTTCTGAGCTGAAAAATGGGATGTTTAGCACAAAAAAATTATATATAAAAGTTTCCTAGAAATCAAATAAATCTAATTTTAATACTTGATTGAATATACGCTAATAACTTATCTCGTTTTAAGTACCACCTAAAGTTTCTGTCCAACGTACAGCTGATCTAAACTCAGACTCTAAATAATCGTAAATCATGTACTCCCTTCGTTCCACAATGTAAGTTATTCTAGCATTTTCCACATTCATATTGATGTTAATGAATCTATGAATATGAAAAATGCTAGAATAATTTACATTGTGAAACGGAGGAAGTAACTGTAACTTTACCACCACATCGTTTAAGCCTTTAAGGTGGCTTCTCGAAAATCGATTTTATTCTTCCCATTTTTAGTTCGAGCTAGTATAAAGCATATGATATGCTCTAGAACATGCAGCGCTAACTTGCCCGTTGAATTGGAGAGTGTTGTTTGTCGCATTGGATGCTACATATGCTACTTCGGGAAGTAAAGAAATGGAGGACATGAGAGCTGCTACGTACCTAGTAGGTGGATATGCATGTAGGCAATGCTTGTTGGAAAAGCATTAGCAGAAATGGGTTTGTTTGGAAGCACGTTCTGTAGCAGTGCTGTAACTGTACTGTACTCTGAAGCGTCAACTGAGGCTGCAGGTAGCCAGAAAATCAGAAACACTTGCCTTCTACAGCAGCATTTTTTTTACAAGCAAACATTGTTCAAAACAATTGCAACCGAACAGCGGTGCTATGCAGCTGCAAGCCTGCAACCCAAGAGGGGTTGAAACTCTATATTGGAGTAACATATAGCAGTACGTTTAGTTTATTCTATTACAAAACTAGAAAATAGATTTATTACAAAATGTACTGCTTAATAGTTTAGGAAACGTGTTAACGAAAAACGAGAAAAAGTTGTAGTTTGGATTGATGTTATCTTCCTTGCCACTTGTTCCATCACGTGAGGGGTATATACATTAGTGAAAAGTCGAGAATAAGGGCCTGGTTCAAAACCCTATTTTTTTTCTTAGAACAAATTACATGAATGTAATATTACTTTGGAATAAGTCCACTTTGACTCCATTAAAAGTAACTCGAATCTAATATGTGATCCTCAACCGTAAAACCGGATAGAACGACTCCCTAAACTATTGAAACCAGTGCAATTTGACTCCCTTGGTGGTTTCGATGGGTGGTTTTGCTGATGTTGCGCTGACGTGGCAATGTTGACCTAGTTTTCGTCCCACGTGGCGCTTACGTGGCATTAGAATTAAAAAAAAAATCTATGGACCCACATGTGATTCACACATAAAAAATATTGTGGGCCCCACTGACATGTGGGCCTACATGTCATTCACTCTCTCCTTCCCCTTCCCTCTCTCCCCGTTCTCTCCCCCCTTTCTCTTCACCTTCTCTCTCGTAGTGTAATTTGCAGGCAAGGGCGGCGACGGCAAGCGGGAGCCGGAGTGGTGGCGGCGGCGATGGCTGACGCGGCAGCAGCGGGCGGGCGCCAGCTTCCCCATCGCCATCGACCTCGACCTCGGCGTATCCGCATGCGTGATGGCGGCGGTCTTCGAGGATGCAGTCCACGAACCCAGCCCGGCAATCCGGCCAACCCCCACAATGCTCCACGGGTCAGCCTCGGCAGAGTCGAGCAGCAGTACAACAAACACACCAATGTAGCAGCATAGGAGAAGGCGAGCAAGCAAGAGGATGTGTATAGCTGTATAGCTCGATTACTTCCTGCTCATCAAAAATCATGTCGAGAAGGTGATGATATGCCTCGCCTTCGTCCCAAGGCAGGCATCGCTACATGCATACCATCATGGCCAAAGGCGAGGATGGAGCTCGGCCTCCTTCTGGCGCCTGGCCCAGGGGCTTCGACCTCTATGGCTGAGCGTACAGTGAGGGACTCCATCGGCACCACGGTGGGGATACTCTTTGGCGGGTGTGCTCGTTGGCACCATCGCCGCCGCTGTCGGCACTAAACGTGAGCAGGCAGATCACCGGGACGCTGACCGACTTGACACTGCGCGCCATCATGTGGGAGTGCGGCTTCCGGTGGCGTGAGGAGTTCCTGGAGACGCTGGGAGAGGCGCAGAAGAAGGCGACTAGGTTCGGCGTTGCTGACCTGTTCCTGTCGTCGAGGCTCCTCCCCGCCGTCGGGAGCCGGAGTGGTGACGGCCGGTGGGAGCTGACACGGGAGCTAGCTGGAGCGGTGGTGGAAGTGGGCTGGAGCTGACGGAGGCTAGGAATAATCCAGCGCGCTAGTCAGAGGCAGCCGCAGCCGCAGCCGCCTCGTTAGAGGTATGTGGCTTGGGGCGGTTTCCACCGCCGCCGCCACTCAAGCCCCTCCGTCGCCGCCTCCTTCTCCTCCGCCTCCACCCGCGTTAGCTCCAACCCACCGCCGCTTCAGCTCCCGCCGGCCGCCAGCACTTCGGCCCCTGCCCCGCCGCCGCTCCAGCCGTGCTCCCCGTGGACGGTGGAAGGGGAGAGAAAGAGAGAAGGGAGAAAGAGGGGGAGGAAGAAGAAAGAGAGAGGATGACATGTCAGTGGGCCCCACTTTTTTTATGACAAATGGGTCCCACATATATGTTTTTAATTAAATGCCACCTAAGCGCCACATCAAGACCAGGCTAGATCAACACTACCACGTAAGCACCACGTCAGCGAAACCACTATCCAAAACCGTTAAGGGAGTCAAATTGCACCAGTTTCAATAGTTTGGGGAGTCGTTCTATCCGGTTTTGCGGTTGAGGGTCACGGATTAGATTCAGGTTACTTTTTAAGGGAATCAAAGTGGACTTATTCCTATTACTTTTCTTACATGGGCTCAAAATCACGCTTGGATGGGCTGTAAACCACAAATTTTTACGCTGGTTTGGCCCGAATACCTGATACACCCCAAAACAGGCCGAATCCAAGCATGCCTCAACCAAAGTCAATTTACTCGGGAAAATACTGTTCTAGCCTCGTTTAGAAAGGAATAAGTCCACTTTAACTCCCTCAATTATAGCTCCAGTCTAATTCGTATCACCCAACCGCAAAACCAGATATCCTAACCCTCCAACTATTGAAACTAGTGTAATTCGACTCCCTCGGCTGTTTTGAGATCGGTTTTTGCCGTCGTGGCATGTTGACCTAAAGTCAAAATGGCTGAGTCAGCATGCGGATCCCACGTGTCAGTGTCATGTCCTCTTTATTCTCTCCTTTTTCTCCTTTCCCCACACGACGCCCCTGGGGCAGCAGCACCATCGACACCCTCTACTGTTTGCTCGCCTCCACAAGTTCTCCATCGACTCCATGGACACGCTCCGGTGCCGGACCGCTAGCAAACACGCGACACAACAGCCAGTCAGGCAGCGAGCGGCGATGGCCGATGGGCGGACTGAGGGAATCGAGGCGATATGGAGGCGGAGTGGATTGCGGCAATGACTAGCGATGGGCGGACTTAGGGGATTGTAGCGACGAACGGAGATGGTCGAGGGAGAGAAGGGGGTCGGTGGTGGTGTGCTTTGCAGCGGCATCGGTGGCGCTGGACTTCGTGGAGGGGAATGCTATGATCCAGTGGGTGATGGGGTCCTTCTTCATCTTCTCCAGCTACTTCATTGCGCTGTCAGTGATGCCGGCACGCCATCTCCTCAACCTCTCACCACCCTGCAGGTCATGCCATTGACGAGCTCCCTTCCCTCGAGGTCGTGCCGCCACCGCTCCATCTCAAGTCGTGCTGCCATTGCGCCTCAAGGGCAATGAGCTGTAGATCAGTGTAAGCCGCCGCTCCGTCTTGAGGGCGCACCATCGTTGTGCCTCGAGGCCGTCGCTCTGTCTTGGGTGAAGCCCCGTCGCGGATCCCTCTCATCAGCCATCACAGCTGCTCGGACTCCGCCTCGGGCCACGCTGGCACCTAGCTCTGTGCTCGTCGAAACTGCCGACCGTCCTTGCCCACTCTAGCTTGTTGGCATCGTCGTCGTCCCGACCATAGAGAAAGAGGAGAAACAAGGAGTATATAGAGAGGAAACAGTCCTGACCCATGGGTCCACATGCTATTTTTATTATTTTTGTTATTGTAATGACAAGTCAGACTCAGAGACTAAGTCAATTCGACACGTCAATGAAAACCGCCTTTAAAACCACCAAAGGAGTTATGTTGCACTGGTTTTAATAGATGATGGGTCAAAATATCTGGTTTAATAGTTGATGGGTCAAAATATTTGGTAATTTGGTTAGGGGGTATGAATCAGATTGCACCTGAAACTGAAGAAGTCAAAGTGGACTTACTTTCCAAAGGAGTCAAACATGGGGTATGAATCAGCTTTGGTGCAGGAAATATGGCCCATCTGAGCCCATAGGGAGTTCACATTTTCTTACATAATTAACTGGGTTTGGCCCAAGTAGTTATATTGATGGCTGGCTTTGTATTCCAGCAGTAGTGGGCTTCTTTAATGGCCCAAACTGTGATATTCTCGTTCGGCCAAGGGCTTCTACTAGTTTACGGAATAAGTCCACTTGCTGTCCCTCAATTTTACGTCGAATCTGTATGACATCCCTAATCCCCGATATCAGAAATTTCTACCCTTTATGTGTTCAAAACCGTGCAAAGAAGGTCCCATGGCAGTATGCATGAGTGGTTTCACTGACGTGTCATCCTAGTCAGTAACGAGAGAATAAAAAAAATATGTGAGGCCCACATGTAAGTCACACAAAAAAATATAAAAGCAAAACTTCTCTTGCACCTCTCCCCCAAGCGCATGGCGGCGACGCACACCTTTCTATCCGTCCAAGCTTTGGCAATAGGCTGAGGCTGAGGACGATGTGGCCAGCGAGGTCGAGGTTCGGCATGGGGAGGCCGAGGCCGAGGACAGTGTGGCCCATGACATCAAAGACAAGGGCAAGGAGAAGAGGGGGCATGGGAGCGGGTGGGCACGGGGAAGCTAAGGACGAGGGTGGCACGATTAGCGAGGTTGAGGCAGACGACGACTGGTTCGCACCACTGGTCACCGCCTTCGCCTCGTGTCCTCTCTCCCACCTCCCGCGCGTCGCTTGGGAGGGAAGAGTTGAGGCGGCCAACCGCCGCTAATCCCCTCTATAGTCTATGTCGCGCCCGGGAGATGGGAGCTATCGCGCCTCGTCGATGCCGCACTATGGCAGCCATTCCTCCATCGACCTCTGTTGGCTGCACTCCGGCAGCAACAAATTCGATTGACGATGACGAAGCAGCAAGAGGCATCTACCAACGGCTGCGGAGGCGAGGAATTCGGGGACTTGATGCCGGTGATCCTCTTGCTCGCGTTGAGCGCCACCGACGGCCATCACATAGCGGACAAGCTGCATGATGTAACCGGCGAAGCGGCCGGTATGGATGGTGAGCACCGTCGTCATGTTGCCATCTCCTCTAGCTCGAGCTTTTCCCCTGGTCGATCTTTATGCCGCTGATGTGGGTGCCCATGTAGGTGAGATCGGTGTGTCCCCTATGGCTTAGGTGAAGAAGGTCGGGTTGGGGTTGTAGATTGCCATGGTGATGAGTAGTGTGATGTTGGGTTCGAGCAACATGGCTAGGAAGGAGAGTGTGCGGGGACAGTCCGACGAGGCGGGTGGAGACGAGGTGGGTGGTGGGGTCGTAGATGTGGAACATAGTGAGAAAGAGGACCAGGATGAGGAGCACCACAAGGATGATGAGCATGTAGGAGTTGTTAGTATTTCTTAACAACATTACTATAAATATAATTCCCAGCAATGGCGCATAAATACTCCTGCTATATTATGGTTATAGAGTTCATCCGCAAACGCACGGATATACCATTGTAGCATTTCACCCGAGAGTATTCCAAGGGTATCGTATTTATTTAATCCCGTGGAAAGATCATAATAGAGAGAACTTGACTAATAATTTATATATTACATGTAATAATCATAGTCTAAGCAGGGGTTAAGATAATCTAGAGTGACACACAAGCAGGGAGCTACTAATTCTCATACTAAAATATCTAAGCTAAGTGGAAAGAAAAGAGAAAGAGAATCTATTCCTATACTTCTAGTATACATAGTATACATACATCCTAGTTATCTGACATACTAGCTAATACCCTCTATCCGATGCCCTCCTGATACTTCGAGAAGCCACCTCTGACTGCCGAGTTCCTAACGACAGCCCGTCATAACCATACAACCGACAAATTAACTTAGGGCTATATACACGCACGGAGGAATACCCGTACTGAGTTGTCACCATCAGCGGCATTTAACCCCAAATAATGATATCACGTAATCTAGACACCATGCCTAAACTACCAGATACTACTCTAATATCATCGTCATGACATAGAGTAATTGCATAAGCAAACATTATACCCGTACCGATGCATCTCCCAGATAAGCTAGCAGTATAATCAGTATAACTTGAACATAATGTAAAGTTGGCATTCATATACTCGGAAAGTATTTCAATACCATAAATGTATATAGAAGAGTATTCTAAATAGAGTACAAAGCTTACAAAAGAGAAGAGAAGAGCTACTAGAGCCATACCCGAACTCTTCCGAAAGCTTACGGACTCTGATTTCTACTCTATTCCTATTCCACTAGCTTGAAAACACTAAACTAAATTGAGAGAATATGAGAGAGCTTTTGCTTAAGGTGTGTATTGAAATGGAGAGAGTAAGAGGGGTTTATATAGCCTCCCAATGATGGTTGTGACGGTTGGAATGGTCGGAAATATCCTCCAACCGTCATTGGGAGCCAATCTACATCGTCTAGAAGAAGCTCTGCATCCAACGACGATGAGGGGGGTTCGGCCGAAACAAGGGCCGGCCCAA